CTTTGTCTCGTCTGTGAAAGTCATTTGTAATTTAATTTATTTATTATTCATTCATTGTTTCAATTAAAAGCGGATACACTTTTAGGTCAATCCATATTCTGGTTCTGCTCTACAATATACTACACTTTGTTCATAGCATTCAAATCCATGAACAGAATGCACTTATTTTAGCCGTTTTTGACTTATTGTGTATTTTAGGCCACATTTAATACTAGGAGTGATTTTGCAACTAAATTATGTAATTTGTAATATTGGTAGTTGTAATGGGCGTCACCTCTAACACTACGGCTACCTTTTAGGGATTAAATGGTATATTTGCTAAATTTACAGCTAATATTACAAATTAATATATTCGAGCAAATAAACAAATAAGTAGTTATTACTAATTTTGTGCATAAACAAGTAAGTATCGTGTAATACTTTTTTTTTGTCTAAGGGCATTTGCTTTACACAGGGCAGATTATTATCAAATTTGCAATAAGCTATTGAAGTTGACAAAGTTGCTGACGTAAGGAATAGGTATTTTTAACTCAATTCAGCACTATTTAACTGACCTGTCTTATACTGACTCTTATTTCAAGAGAAAAAACGATTTCAAATATATCCAAAATTATTCAAATGTATTATTAATACAATGGGTTTGATTTTATCATATGGATTAAACAAGGTCCACACAGTGATGCTATATGTTAACCATAATTCGTGTATTAAGATTAGAATTGATTAGCAGTATCTACATATTTAATATGAGTACAATAGACTTTCCATAGATTTAGCACATAAGAGCACATTTCTAAGTCCATAGAGTTAACATGCATACGTCTCATAGACTTATCATTGTCCATAGAATTAGCACTAATTTCATAGAGTTAACATGCATACGATTGACATTATCTATAGAATTAGCAGTAGTCCCATACACTTAACATTACCCATAGACTTAGCATTACCATGGAATTAGCATTACCCAAGTTAACTCTATGTCATAGACTTAGCATTACTCATGTTAGCCCTATGCTTAGACTTAAGCTGTAATCCCATAGAAACCCATGTTAAACCTACGAGAGTCTTCCCATGTTAAAGTATAGCCATAGGATTAACATGGTATCCCATGTTAAATCCCATAGGATGGGGGAGGGGAGAACAATATTAAGTCTATAGGCAATTTAATTAGTTTAAATAGTTTATTATTTCTAAATTATATATTATTGTTTTAATTAGTTTCCAATCAACTCTTGAATAGCAAACAAAATAAGTTCCAAAGATTTCTTTAGATTCTAGATGTTATACTAGTATATAAAAGACGAATCTTGTTACTTTACTATTTATTAATTAGTTGAATGCGTTAACAAATTCTGTATTATTGTATTAATTTAACACATTTATTGCACAGTAGGAGAGAATCATTTAGCATTTTGATATACAGTATTTACAACATTTGTAAAAATATTAATGAATACAACACTTTGTATACGATTTCCATAATATTTTTGCCAAAACCTATAACAATATGTTTAACACAACAAAACATGTCATTAACCTTCAAATAGGAAATATTAAACACGAATTCAAATAATTATTGCCATTCAATGAATTGTCGTGTATTTCGGTCTTAATGTATGCCAATAATTGTCGATTTAGTGTCCCATCAGTTGACAGTATTGTTTGCTGACCTCAACACTGAACTCAATCTAATTATCCCTATTTTTAATCACAATTTCAAATCTGAAACTGTTTTTATGAGATCAGTCTATTCCACACCCTTCCCCAGCCTTTCCCCCTTTATTTGAAAGTAACACATTTTAAACTACATAAAATTTATAGTATTTTTATATAATAATGGCTACTATTAATATTAAGCGTCATGATAATCCTATTAGATTAAGCTCATTTGTCAGAGACATCTTAATATGTTAAATATAATACTAATTTAATTAAAACAATAATATAGCCATAGATTAGCCGGAAAATTATGTTTGATAAATTTAGTCAATACAAAAAGGGAGTTTTAATTAAATTACATTTTAGTTATTATAAACTTTTAAATATGAATTTAAAACTACTACACTGTATACTTTGATTTGGGATTGTAATAACTGATGTGGATTATATAACATAAAAGTTATTAAAGTTTACTTTTTATGCAAAAAAGACTGAAAATCTTTCGTATATCATAAAATCACCTGGTAATGATTGACAAATTAAAATTAAAAAATTTATAATGTTAAATTTATGAAATTATATAATGTACATGTATTATAAATAAAATGTATTCATTTGAATAAAGTAATAAAAGCAATGAAATGTTGACATTTAAAACTATAAAAAGATTTTTATTGAAATATGTCTATCAAATACAATATGATTATCATTTTGCACAAAGGATTAAGAATAGGAAACATAAACGTGTGTTTTATATACTGTAATATTGAGGAAATATACAATAATTGTGGAGTTATTTAATAACGAATATTCTATATTTAATTACTAATTCACATGAAAATGTGTAGAAAATGTATTTCATGTCATTTACCTAATAGTAAATATACTGTAATATTGAGGAAATATACAATAATTGTGGAGTTATTTAATAACGAATATTCTATATTTAATTACTAATTCACATGAAAATGTGTAGAAAATGTATTTCATGTCATTTACCTAATAGTATGACAAAACAGTTAAACTTGTGGTCACCGGCCGTTCATCCGGTCTATCGGGAAGTCTATTGTTAGTAAAACGGAACTGAATTAGCCCTTCATCTCATCCCTATTTAGTCATAAAAAGCATTCAAATGAATAATTATTTTCGTTTTGAGAACAAATTTGTTAACTATTTTGTTGAGTGAATTCATTTAAATTCATATCAACTTTTAAAATATTCCTCTTATTTGTTGCTCCGATAAAGTGTTCAAAACAGTCATATATTCATAGCTAAAGTTCTACTCAACAAAACTGTTTTAAATTTTTGTTAATATTAATAAATAGTTTCTAATAAATCTAATTAAATAATAATATAATATTTATTGTGTTATTTGTAAATTAATACTATTTTAAAGATTTAAATAATTTACTTTGTTTTTATATCTCACTGCCGGAACTACAAGAATATGTAATAAAATAATGATCTTTAATAATATGTAAATATGAGTATATTGTAAAAATTGTGATTTTGTTGTAATGGTTAACAACTTTAATAGGTTTTTGAGACAATGTTTAACTGCATAGCAATGGTACCCCTCGTCTCCTTTCTGGCCGCACTCAGAATATTAACTGAGGGTAAGTTTATTTATTTTATAAATATACTGGTCATGAATTATTAAATGTGTTTCTTATTTTAACATTATTTATTTTAAATCAATTCCACGTTTAACTTAATAAATTAGTTGTTGTTTTTACTAAGTTAATTTGTTTAACTGATTTACTTGAAATAATATTTAAAATTTTATTATATTTTCTATTAAGATTTAATAGAATTTGTTGTATATATTGTTTATACTAGATTAAAATTTTTAATTTTTTTGCATTTAACATTACCCTCTATGGAAACTTAATGCTACTTTGACTTAAAATTACTCATATACCAAGTACATTTTAGTGATTATGTTAATGGTTTATTTTGTCCTCACATATCTGATTATAAGATTGTGAAGTCAATTCACCGATTATGTATTTGGTCTAGATGCCATATGCCCGAGTAACTCGATTGTATATATACAAAATTAATTAATAAAAATTTTTAAAATTAGACAGTATAGGTTATATTTGAATTAAATGATGGTCAAATAACTAAAATATTTACTTGATTTTAAAAAATCAGTTATTAATTCAATATTTGTTAGCAAATAATTACTAATTTAATTTAGTTAAAGTCAAATCACGAATTATATGAGACCTCAATTGAAGGATTTTGCATTTTTTGTGTATTATATCAAATATTTAAAATTCAAACACAAAAGTTTGTAAAATAATACAATATAACGTGAAATAATTTATGAATAAATAATGCATATTATGATGAAATTTCCTCATTTGATAGCAAACAAAACTACTGAATATGAAGGACAACAAAATTTTGCATTTTTTAACACAACAGTTAGTTTTGAATAAAAGAATTAATTTTACGCTTTACTGGAATTGCATTTTGCTTTCTCTTATCCATAGAAATACAATAACAAATTTTATACGTAATATTACTTTTTATAAATTATATTGATTTTTAAACTTAAAAATGCAAAAATGGTTTCATATTTGATTTTATGATAATTGTTTATTATTTCAATTTAAATCAAAATTTCAATTTTTATAAAAATATCTAGTCTGAGCGAATTTATAAAGCAGTACTTTCCAATATTTGTTAAAAAAAACTCTTTTATTTTGTTATTTGCTTTTCAATTACAGTATATTTCAATTGTATTATAAAGTATTTATATTAAAGTGTTTTTTTAAGAACAATAATAACAGAATCTTAATTATATTACTTAATGAATATTATGTTCTACATATCTAATCATTAATTCAATAACTATATCTGCACAATAATTTGCACTATATCTGTAACACTAATTCCATTTAAAATAAGTTACTTTAAATAAAAACACATAATAAACATACACACCAATTTTAATAAGATAGATCATTTAAAGTTAATAATTACTAACGTAAGTAACTTATAATACAGTAGTATTCATGTAAAGTGATATAATTTTGATGCATATCCATACATTTTCATAAAAAATACATATATCAAGAATAATGTATTAAAAATAAATATATAAATTTAACAAATATTTTGTACAACAGCTCAAAGTTGTAATAACGGAATTGGAAAACTTGTTTATGAGAAAGTAGTCGACTATAAACTAAACGGAATCTCGAGGTTTGGCAACAAAAATGGTGGTCAGCCTAAAGAAGTGGTTAGAATTGTATTACCAATAGTTTTAATGATTTATAAAATACGAGAAATTTATGATAACAGATAACAAGAAACGATTTGCCGATTAAAGTATTGGAAGAATGTATCCGTCGGTGCCAAGAGGATAGACTCACTTCTATTCAACACTGTTTATCGTTTGATTACTCTCCCGGGCGAAGGAGTTCCAGCCCTTTCAAAAGCCCTCAAACAGTAATTATTATCTTTAGTCACAAATTAATATTAATTTATATGATTTCATAATAGAATTCAGTTTTGCCATCAAAAGAAAGTGTTCCCAATATTAGCGCTGAATATGAGAAGTCTGTTTGCACTCTATATAACGATAGAGGAAATCCTGATGGAGACGACACTTTGGTTAGGGAAGAGAATGCCTGGCATTATAATGAAGTCTGTCTCTCATGTATGCGAATAATTTATTTTATATCTTACATATTTTAACCATCATTTTTATAGATTGCATTTAGTATTTATTATATTTAACAAAATATAATAAATTCTTATCTGTCGAGAATAATGTTTTAAAACATTATGCAATACATCTTTGTAATCAGAATAATCCATTAAAATATGGAAAATTAATATTATTTTTTATAATATAAAAATAACTTTAACATAGCATCAAAAGTAAGCACAAAATGTCCGAACCGTTTGTATGTGTTTGAGAGGATTCCTGGCTATAAGTTTGATGGGAATGAAGACAAAGAAATACAAACTAAGAATAGGACGGAATGCGAAGACAAATGTTTGAATGAACACACGTTTGTCTGTCGAGCCGTTACTTTCAATAGAAAGACCAGTCAATGCAAACTGAGTAAAGAGACGCGTTATACAAATCCAAAGGCCTTTAAAGTGGACCCAAACTCGGATTATATGGAGAATATATGCCTTCCGCGTAAGAATTCACACTATCTTTTAAAAACACATTAATTATACATGAATTGTGTTATAAGGAAACGAAATGTGTTCGTGGAATGCATTCATTCTCGAAACATCCAAACAATTGGACGCTATCTATGAGAGAGTCTTAATCACTGCCAATGAGTTCCAGGAGTGCTCTAATAGTTGTTTGGAAAGTTTGGATAAACACGGATTCCTGTGTCGATCCTTCATGTTTGACGAGTCCGGACAGACGTGTATTCTCTACGATGAGGACCCGCTCTCCTACGAAGAGATCGCTCAAACAGATTCGTCGCAAACTATTCAACAATTTAAAAGCAGACCATTGAAGCCATCGCCAGGAAATCTGTACCGAGTTTTATGCGTTAGCGATGAAAAAGGTATTCATTTTTCTGATTATTTATCAATTTTAACGATTATATGTTGTAATTATGAAAATATTTGAGTTTTGTTCGGAAATTATTGTTAAAATAAAGAGCAAAAGTATTTAATCGTTGGCTATATTTAGACGATTCCGTGCGAAACGCAACCGTTGAATGTTATCGAAGTAAACGCCTTAATGGTCGACATCAGGTAGAGATAGGAGTCTATAGTTTCTTCGATTGTCTTCAGGAATGTATGCAAAGATTCCGAAGAAGTTGTCGTTCTGTTGAATATTCTTCACTCAAAAGAATGTGTCGATTCAGTAGTTTTGATGGAAACGGAACCAATCAAACAGATTTAGTCGATGATAAAAATTATGATTTTTATAAGTTTATGTGGTGTAAGTCAGACAGACATCGATCGTCATTCACTTTATTATGTATTGAAGTAATGAATGCATATTTGGATTGTTGAATGCCGTATAAACCAAAATTATTAGACCAAACATTGTATTGCCGATTGATTAACAAATTATAATTTGAATTGAATATCATTTTTAATGAATGTCAAGATCTATGCATTGAATTTTGTATTGCGCTGTAAAATACTTGAATGCAGATGAATGTGAAACCAATTGCATTATAATTTATTGTCATTTCTTGATAAATATATATTTTTAAACTTTTTAAAAATTCTATTTTTATTTGTTTTATTTGTTGCTAACATAAGCACGTATTGCCTGAAAAAATGTTTAATTAATTAATTATAAAAATTTAATTTCACTCATTATTTTCCATTAGATCGAAGTGGAAACGGAGTCTATCCTCACAGTTACGCGAGTCATATCTACGAACAAAGAGCTGGTTTTCATAGCGGGGCTCCGGGAATGAGTCCGGGAATGGCTCCGGGAATGGCTCCTG